TGGCGACACAAAGTTAAAGTTTTCTTCCTCTTTGAATGTTGCTTCAACTTTGCAATTTGTACAGATTTTTATTTTTTTATAGTGTGGTCCAGACTTTAGACGTTTGTTCTTTAGTGTCATTGATTCTGAACAAAATTAGCTATTTGATTGTCTTTATAGTGATGTTTTTCTTCGTGGTGCGCGAAACCCGCCAGATAATCCACACTTTCTTTCAGAGCTTTTCTTGAGTTCGGGCTGGGCTCCGACTTGCTTGGGCCTCTGTTTCTTTTGGGTTCCTTTTTTTGTTGTTTTTGGTTTTTTGTTTTGTTTTTGTGCTTGCTGCCGCTTCAGAGGCACCGCCGCCAACGCTGCTGCCTACCACAAAAACAATTGTTGTTGCGCTGGGCTCTGTACTTGATGTGGTTGTTGGTGTAGTTTTTACTTGTAGTTGTTGCTGTTTTTGTTGTTGTTGTACGCAATTTAAATGGAATTTCTGCTACTGGGCCCACGAACATTGATCGCCATAAATAATCGCACAGTTGCTGCTGCTGTTCCTGCCCCAGCTCCATCTCCATCTCCATCTCCGTCTCCGTCTTCAGCTCTCGCTGTGGCTGTGGCTCCATTTGCAGCTCTGGGCTCCAGCTACAGCAACAGCAACAGCGACCCAGCGAGTGCTGCTGCATCAATGGTGGCGGTGTCGGCGGCGACAACAACTGCAACAACAACAACAACAACAACAACAACAACAACAACAACAAACACATGAACAACGAGAAACTGCAACGGCGACCGCATCTCAGATCGGGCGCGATAAGGTAATTGGACTATTATGTCAAAAAGTATTTGGCGTTTAAGAAATATGGCCTGGCATTTGACATTTCGGCAGCCAGTAGTCGTTGTACCTGTATACCCCCTCTCCCAGCCGCCGTATATGCCCCCTCTCTGGACCCACCTCCTTGCAATTCGAGTTGCATTTTCAGTTGCAATTGCCACAGAACAAAAGGTGCACATTAAAAACTGTTTTTTCTGCCGTTGCAGCAGCAGATTGGGGCAGATCCGGGGGCCAGCTATCGATATCGCGATTGCATTGATCGGCCAGAAGTCAGGAGGTGGGGCAAGGGCAGGGGCAGGGGCTTAGGTGGATCTGAAACGCATTGTCACCAAAGGCGGCTCTGGTTGAAAGTGTTTTCGTTTGTTTATATTTATTTTTGGATAACCAAATGATCAAAGTCAATGTGCGTGGTCATGTAATTGATTACCTGATCGGCGCTGATCGGAGATCGTTGTTCGCTTGAATGTGAATGGGGGTCGGAATGGGATAATGGATATGGTGGGGGAATGGCCATCTACAGAGGGTGAGGGAGGGAGAGCTGTGTAGCTGGGAGGCTGCTGTTGTTCGCATCAGATCTCCCGGAGATTAATCATTGAATCTATAAAATGGTTGAGATGATGAATGGAGTTCGGATCAGTGGAATTGTTTCAGGCTTAATGACTGGTTGGTGTTGATTGGGGATAAGATGGAAAACATATCTATTTAGATAAATAGATGGACGCACATAGTAGATATACATTTCGATAGATATTGAGACACATTTGTAGGCATAGAGATTCATAGAAAGACACACAGAAGTAGCTATTAACAGTAACAGTGTATAATGTTATCGTTTATTGTTTTTTGTGTTGTTTTTATGTAGTATTAAACAAATCCTCCAATTACTTAAAACAAACAAAAAAAAATACAGGAAGGGGGATGGTTCTGACAGGGTTACCACCCTACTCTGGTAGCTTTTAAGCGTACATTAAAGCTGTGCGAAAGCTCTACTGTGTAAAGAAAGTCGATGCAATTCTATGAATTATCGATATCGCGATCAAAAGCCTATTGTGGCAGTTGAGTATTCAAAGATACACAAAAATACGTTCTCAATCAGTTCTTAGAATTCAATCGCATGATCAGCGCCCCATAGATTATGTTTTTTTATGGAAAAATAAACTCAAGGAGGTCCCCTCTTCCTGGTCGAGGCCTCATCTGTCCGAGAGCCAGTGGGCCCTGCGATCGATCAGAAGGTGCCGCCTTCGTTCAAATAAATACGCACTTTATGGACACATGTGAAATGTGTACATATACACCCATATGCACATATACACATAGGTACTTGAGCTTTTCCAATATTTGTTAGCCATTAGAGCGAATTGTTTCAGTGCTGCTGACATATTTGGACGTGCAACACGTTGGACCTCCTAGCCTAGTAATAACCTATTAAAATATCATCTGAAACCCATGCTTAAGGCTTACATAGTCTGTATGTGAGTCAAAGATCTTTGGGATAAACGATAACTTCGCTTCGACTTGTAAGTACCGTACACCGATTTATTTAAGTATGGGGTGATCTGCCTTAGTCCGAAATATCCGATCATTTCATATACGTATAGAGGTTAGAGTTAAAACTATTAACCTAGCTTATTTCATGATAGCACTGGTTACTATCACCTTCGGCTAACGTATAGAGGTATTTTAACTATCAGTAATCCTTAAATTAAATTGATTTGTTTGGCGGATGTATATTGCATTTGTATTCGTTTTGTTTAGAAATGACTTGGCCAGCTGTTTTCTTGCTGTTTGTTTGCCCTTATCGATCCTACACGGCAGATGGAGAACACGATCATTTCTGTTTTCACACACACTCATTCCGAATTCGTTTTAGTACTGTGTTTGGGTTTTCATTTCGTTTAATAGCTTGTCTAGGATTTCATTCAGGGCAACAGCTTGGCTTTTTTAATAGAAACAATAGCCCCTCCACAGAGGGCCTACTATTGGCATTGGTATCGATGTATGTTATGGTCAGGGTCTATTTATATTTTATTTATTTATTAATTTAAGGCTGGTACTAGGGTTTTCAGCTCTGCTGTGAGTAGATATTGGTAAATTAACTAATGTTTGCTGACTTGGCACGCTCAAGGGATTTGAGGGTTCTTTATTCTGTTCTTATCCTATTCTATAGTCTATGTTTATCCTTGACACTCCAGGAAAAGTTAGCAGGTGTTCGGGGGTCATTTTTGTATGGCGTCCAGTGACCACTGTGGGTAAAAGTCTTGTATCGTTGGAGGAATTGATCCCATTCTTCGGAGTGTCTTTAGGATATAATCTGTGAGCAATCTGTAATCATTCCCTTGGATGGTGACCTGGTGACTGGGAACTGGGCACGCGGTGACAGGGGTTTGCTTATTTGCTTAGAAATTTTCATATTTACATATAAGAGTTTCTATGATCTAAATGGGATTATAATTATTGTCAAAGTATGGAAAGATTTGATGGTTTTTGTGGCTTCAAGAACGCATCTTAAATCTCGATTCCGTATAGAGCACTCTTTCGGTTATCAATAATAATAATTTCTCCTCCACTAGAACTTATCTTTAAATGGAAGATTGTGCAATATATCTATTGGGAACTTTTGGTTCAAATTATGATGATCTATTTGTAGACGGATCGTATGAGAGAAGTCGTTTGGTTTGCCCAGCGATTGGTTGGGGGAGGGTAGAAATCAGATTCCCTCTGGGAGGAGCGTAGGATCGAGTCCTACCGACTGCGTATTTTTGTTTGTAATACATATTCTTATGAAATATTAAAAGCATTAAAATAAAATGCCTCTGCGCTGGCCATTTAATTAGCCGCAGGCCAGCGACGAGCAACATTGAACATCCTCATCCTCAATGGCCACGGTCTCAGGCAGTGGTAGTGGCATGGGGCCGGGGGCAGGGGGCAGGTGAATGGGAACAAGATGAATTACCTTTTGCCACTGCACGTGAAACTGACACGCCAAGGTGTGTGTGGCAGGAGGGATCTCTGGGTAGACTGCAAAGCGGGACTTGAACTGAGTCAGAGACAGAGACTGATACTGGAACCCCTCTGAGGGTCCAGGCCATCATGCCACACATGGCTTTCAACACGTTTTTGGCCATTTCTTTGGCTGCCTTTAGCTGCAGGTTGCTGCGTGACGACTGCGACTGGGACGAATGATGGCTTAATTCATTTGCTCGCCCAAAATGCATTTTTAATTTAATTTCATTTTGAACACTGAAAACCGAGAACCGAGAACCAAGAACAGAAAACAGTGGAGGCAGAAGGAAAGAAAAATAAATTTAATTATTTACTCTAGAGAGAGAGAGAGAGAGCGGGGTGAGCATTAAAACGATGTTCAGGGCTCGACAACGAAACCATTAAAATTACTTTCAATATAGGCGGACGGATGGACGGATGGAGGCTTTCGATTTGGATTAAGTGGGGGCCCTGTACCCTGTACAGATCCCCTACACTATCCTACATTCCATTTTAATTGCCACCTCAATTATGATAAATAGAAGTTGCTCTTCTGGGGAGACTGAGGCTCTCACTCTCTATCTCTCTCTTTGCATAATATTAGAAGCAACCTCTCCGGAGCGCGGATTATACGCAAATCGTGATTGTTGGGCCACAGCTAATTTTCATATTTTCTTCCCTTTACCAACGTCGTTTTTCGTTTTCATGCATTTAATTGGAGTCTGGTCCGAGTTTGAGTTGGAGAGTCTTTTAACCGACTGCGATTACATTCTAATTATGAAAAATTCTTAATAGCCAAATGATACAAGGCGGAATGAACAAGAAGAATGCTCAGACGGATGGTAAATTCTTCTGATCAGCCGCAAATTAGGTAGAAGCCATACACTCAGGGCATTCTTCAGGCCAACTTACAGAAACGAATAACTGAAGAAAAGATCTTTCAATCTAATGGAAACTCTTATTTTTCCCTAGATTTCCTTTTGAGGACAACAACAATTCCTGCCTGAAGAACTTAATCCTTGGATGAACATCGAAGATCTTTCAAAGAATTCGGATTGGAACTCCAAGTGTTCGTTTTCTCAAATGTCACAAAAATTCTCCCAGATCCTCACATTCTCGGCTCCCATTTAACCCCCAAAAACATTAACTTTTAGGCTTTTAAAAATTGAGTTAAATTTTGTTGTCTTCTAAAATAGAGGAAAGGATAATGTCACGCCTCACCAAATTAAACGATATGGAACATTTGATGCTGAACCACTGGCTGGATACGCACGACATCAAACTCGATTATCACACACGAAATCAGTTTCGCGATGCCCTGGCCATTGCCAGAGTCTTCGAGAAGATCCATCCAGAAGTCGTTGATTTGCACAGCTACATACCCCGCACCAGTGTGGCCATGATGATTGAGAACTGGAAGATATTCAATATACGGGTCCTGACCAAACTCAATATTTGTATCTCACAAACGGATATGGAGAGGCTGGCCTTGGGCACAGAGGGTGCCATTGAATCGCTTCTATATGATCTAATGGTCGCCGACTACAGCCTGATGATGCGTTTCGATTCGGATAAATCTTTTAATCATTTCGATGATGTCGACTAAGTGATTTGCCAACTATCAATATTTACCATTTTGAAACTATTATATTTACAAACTATAAATTAATTAATTAATGTGTAAAAGATGATCTTACTGTTTAGCTATTCATTGAACGCAAATTTATATCTCTTGATAGAAGAATCCGGTATCTAAAGACAATTATTTTGTTAAATGTTCTTCCCAATAACCTTTGGTATCTTTTCTACGAATATAGTTCGAGTTCGTCTTTGATATTTGAATATAAACATATACGTATATTTATATAAAAGCAATGCCTATAGTATCTCCTGCTAATTGTGTAATTCTTTGTCGCCACATTTTTTGCTTGGAAAAACCTTCCACAAGAGTAGTCAGTCTTGTGCTTGTTTGCATATGGCCAAGAAATTGTTGTGGCCATTTATGAACTCAACGATTTCTATATGAACAACAGCCAACCAATTTCTATATATACATATACTTTATTTTTTTGGTCAGGTTGACGTGTTGTTGCCCAAATGCGCATATCAACCATCAAAATGCGCAACATTTCAACGTCTTCAACTTCGGTTTGAGCCACAGTTTGAGCCTCAGATTCAGATTCCGATTCAGCTTCAACATTCAGCTGCATCGTGGTTGTTCGGGCAGTGTGTCAGTTGGGGCTGCCAAGGATTTGAATATCGCAGCAGCATTTGTGTCATAGAGAATGAAATGATTTTTTGGTTTGTGTTTGCGTTTGCCTTTTGCTTGCCCCGCGAATGGGGCAACTTGAATGTTGCCGCAACATGTTGCCGAACGTTTGCCTGCCGCGCGGCGATCGCTTGTCAAATGTTTTGTCAGTCGCTAGCACTCAACCACAAGGCACAAGGAAGTCTGGATACTCTAGCATCAAAAGCTGGTCAAACTAATGGAGAATTTCGTATAAACAAAGACCCTCCTTAGCTTACAGCAGCTTGTTGGTGAAAAGTTGTTGAAACATTTGTTTGAGGGCATTGTGGTTCGGACATCCCCACGATCATTTCCAGCGCGCATAGGATAGGGTATGTACGACTATTGCCAATTGCAACATTTGACAGGCAGACAAAAAACTGGAGAATTCGGACAATGGAGAGACGATGACAAAAACAGCAGCACACGGCAACAGACAGCGGACATTGGCGATGTGGACAACGCTGTGCGTGCCTCCTGACCAAGACTCCAAAATACTCCAACTCCTCTCTCAGCGAGTACGTATCGTATGCTGTGCTGAGTTGGGTTTAATTGAATAAATGTCAATTTGCAAACGCACAAAGTGCGTTGCACAATCGCAACAACAACAACAGAGAATAGCAGCAAGGAAACAATTGTTGTAATAGCAAAAATATCAACAACAACAAGGAGTAGTACAACAACAGCAAAGGAAGTAACAGAATACGATTTTGAAAAGTTCAACCACAATTGATTACATTTTTTCAACAACAGCAATAGTTTTATTACAATTTTAGCAACAATCAATTCTAAATTGTTTAAAATAGTTATTATTTAGAAAATAATATCGCGACAAAACACAAATGTGTTATTATTAGCTTTCAATAATTTGGTCTCGGTGGACCTTTCCATGGAAATGCCCATATACTACAGTATATTTTATTTATATTGTATTTATTTACCGACACCAACAATAACATTAGAAACCTAAACAAAAAAAAAAAACCACGATCACCAACGATCTCCAACGACAACAACAACAACAATAAACGAGGCGACGCGACGTTCGGCGGACTCCAAATAAATTTCAACCAAATTGCGAACGTCAGCGACGCTATCAGCGGCATTTATCAGTGGGCTGGCTGCTGCTTGCCCCACTCTCTGTGTGCCCCATTCTGTGCCTCACCTGTGCCTCACTTACTCGAATGTGCATGCGTGTGCCTGCTCTGTAAAGGCCGTATAGGCTGCATGCTTTATCGCAATATTTAATTGGCAAAATATGCGTCTAAACGCACATAAATTGCATTGCTAACGCGTTTGTTGCGTCTGCCTGAGTCCCTGCCTCACCTGCCCCACCTGCCTCACTCTCTTTGCATCTCTTTGCTTGTCAGACATCATCTTCTTCCTCTGCTTCCCCTGTGGCCACCGCACGCCAATTACCCTCAGCAGCAGCAACAGCAGCAGCAGCAGAGGCAAGATCCACACGCAATGTCAAGGCATTTCACTCAACTGTTGTTGCAGTTGCAAGTACCCTTTAATCGCGGAGAGAACAAGGATATATGGCATTCCAGGAATCACAGAAGGAGCTGTTTAATTTCGATAAAGAACCCCAATCGGATGCTTACGATTAATTTTATTAAATCATCAGCCTTCATTGCCCTGACTGACTTCATGGCCTGTAGACGTAATATACTTACGTTGGAAAAGACTAAATTTAGATTTAATTAGAAGGTCAGGGTATCCTCTACTTCGAATATCGAATATTCCTATTTTTGCTGCTGCTGCTGTTGTTGTCGTTGTTGCTGCTGCTTCTGTTATTTGCTGCATCTGCTGCTGCTGCGGCAATTGCTGTGCGGTTTGTACATGGACATCACATCGGTTTGTATTGCCCCCGAAGATGGAGAGAATATGGTGGCGTTGGGGCTGGAGAATTGCTAACCTGCCGCAAAATGTCACTATTCTACTAAGACACGATTCCAAGCCTACGTTTACACTGACAGAACCAGAGAGTGGCCAGCGACGATCCGAACAAGAGTTGGCTAAGGACTTAAGTCTTTTTAAAATTTAATTTTAAATCTTATAAAGCACTTTGAAGAAGGCCAACTTCTTTAGTATTTGGTAATGGGAAAGCTAAACTCAGGAACTAACTGAATGCCCTCTGCTGGAAGTGAGGTCTAAATGTCCCCCAGGGGGACTCCCTTTGTGGGACAGTGTAAACGTGGCTTAAGCCATTTACCATTTGAAGAGGATTCGCAGTCTTCTTCGTTTGGCTCCGGCTCCGGCTTTGGCTTTGGCCTTTGCGGCTTTTGGGGGCTTGTTAAATTGTCGCAAAGTTATGAGTCGAAGAGGAAACGACTTTTGTGGTCAAACTCCAATTGATGGGAGTTCCTCGCTCTTTCTCTCTGGGGGAGTATGGGAAGGCAGTCGATAGATTGACAAGTGCCTCGGAGTGCCTGGTTAAATATGTTGGCCAGCTTGAAGCTCACTTGAGGAATGACTTTAACAGTTGCATAACCTTGAAAATGTTGCAAATATTCTTATGTACAAAGAGAGATACGAGTATATAGAGTGTGTGTGAGAGGGAAGAGGAAGCTCCGTCTCCGGCATAATAATTGAACTTGTCCCGAAAAACTTTTACTAGCACAACGACCTTCGGTTAAAGTTGTCGAAAACCTTTCCAACCAACATCTCTCTCATCCCATCTCTATCTCACTTTTGCTCACTTTTGTGTGTGTTTCTCTCTGTGTGTGTGTGTGTGTGTGGCTGAGTGTGTGTGGGTGTGTGTGCTTGGGAAAACTTTGTCTTAAAGTTCAAACTGGAGCAAAAACTATTTGCCCCAAATGCGGTGGCCACAATGCATTCCAAGCTTCTCTACTCTCTATATCTATGTGTATCTGGATATACATTCATACATATATATATATATATATATATTTATATAGTATATATGGCGTACAGTCCGGGGTTACCATGTACCCGTAAAGCATGCTCTGCGTGGCGCGTCTCCAGTCTAGAGTCTCAGTGTGTATATAACTCTTTTTTATTTGAATGCCAGCGCATTGCCAGACATCGCACTGTGGTGCAGAAGCACTTTGTAAAGCAATGAAAATGTATATTGATTTGATTCTTAGCGATCTATCGGGAAAGATCTGGTTAAAGATCTGTGAATACTTTTCAGTACAAATAATGCCAGTGGAAAGTGCGTTTGGATATTGATACAAATTTGTGTAAATAAAACCTAAACCTATATATATTTTAAGCTCTTATAAATTTAAAAAAATATTGTTAAACATTTCAATTTAAACTATTTTCATAGCACTTTTTAATGGAAATTTAAAACCAGAAAAACAAGCCCTGAAAATTGAATAGATTTCACTTAGATCTAAAAATGTATACCATATCCAAAAATGTATCCGAGAGTTGAAACTGTGAAAAGAAAGGGTCTTCACTTATATTTGACCATTTAAATTAAATATATAGAAGAAATATGCGTCGCGTTAAAAAGAAATTGCAAAAGAATTATATATTTATTTATATATAAATCAAAGTGAACTCCATTTTATTTCACTATGTTTTTATCTAAAAATCGATTATTTAATTGAATCGCAAAATCCCAGGCCTCGAGTACTTTCTGTTTTGGTGCTCAATGGACTTTGAACCACTGTGCGACAACGACGTCGCAGCTGTTTTCGCGAGCAACTTGAGCAACGTCCTTGGCCATTCTCCTGCTCGCACTTAAGCCTTTCTCCAGCCACCAGCTCAACCCACATTCCCTCCCATTCCCACTACCATTTCCGCACCCCTTACCCCTTTCTTTCTACATAGACCCCCTGCTGTTGTTGTTGCTTTTGTTGGTGGCGTTGTCTGGCGTTGTCTGCAAAGTTTTCCATATTTTTAGTGCCAGCAGAGGAAGGAGGATGGGAGTGGGAGAGGGAGAGAGCGGGTGGGTGGGATGGTGGCAGCAAGCGGTGCAGAGAGAGAGAGACAGACATTTAGAGTTTTCCAGTTTCCCACTTTGCAATAAGTTTCAAACTTAAATAAGGATAATAAAATGCTGTCGACTGCACTTTTGCCACCCTCTCCTGACTCTTTCTCTCTCTACCTCAGTATCCTGGGATGCTCTCTCTTGCTCTCTCTTTCTCTGTGTATGTGTGTGTCTCATTTGTTCGCTCAGAACCCAGACTTAGGTACCTATACCCCATCTCGTTTTCCTCCCGTCTGACGTCCTTGGGTTCTGTCTGCTCGCTGTCTGCTGCTGCTGCTGCTGCTGCTGCTGCCGCTGCAACAACAACTGAAAGAAGAACAACGACTTTGCCTGCAACCTTGCCATGCCACACCCC